GGTTCGATCCCAGTTGATATCAATTAAACTGTTAATTGGAATTTTAAGTGCTTATTTTTTATTTGCTCGCCGGTTAAGAAAAATATCGCGAGGAATCCTGCTCTGAGAAATAAAATATTTCGGGGACATGACATCATCATCAGCTTGCGGCAGTCCACTGCTGGACATAGACCTCTCCCAAGGCGCGCCACTTAGCCCCATCTTCCGCTACACGCATCCAGTTTCTACGGCCCACACTGCATTTGCCTAGACGCGGTCTCTACTACATGACACGTCTACTCAACCGGTTATCACTTATGCGACAGACATGACCATCCTATTGCTTCTTCAGTTAACAAACACTTCGAGGACATGTTAAGTCCGACAATGCGCACTGGAGCAACGCGGTAGACTAATCGCCCACCTCAATAATGAGAGGATGTCTGTGCCCAGCACTGGGACGTATGAAGGTTGTTACTTTACTTTTAAAGGTTTAACTCAAAGATAAGAAGTGAATGCTGCGGCTCGTAGACTCAGCCAAACTTTATTCCTTATTAATAATATCGGATGAACCGATTTTAAGTTTTTTTCGCTTAAAGGTGTATCGAGTGGTTTCAGCTATGTTTCAAGAAAATCTGTTCAGCCATTTGAAGGCAAACCAGCTCTTTTTGTTTCGGGTTTTTTTTTTAATTTATAATTTAAGTTATTTAATTTCTATTTGTTATTAGGAAGATTCTCGCTGACAATATCTATACAAATAAATAAAATTGATGTGTGTGTTTGTAATGTCGAAATAACAGCTTTTTACTATACGCATATGAAAGTATATACGGTACTTATAACAAAAACACGATTTTTAAAATGTTTGTCTGTCTGTCTATTTGTTCCGGCTAATCTCCGAAACCGGACTTTCATTAGCAGATCGCTGATGTTATAAGAAGTAACTTAGGCTACTTTTATTTTAGAAAAAGAATTAGGGTTCCGCGCATAAAATTAAAACCCATGAAATCCAATCGTAATAAATTACGCGTGGGCGAAGGCGCGGGGAACAGCTAGTAAAAAATAAAATTGTTAATTGCAATTTAAAGTGCTGATTTACCACGTGCTCTATGGTGAAGGAAAACATCGTGAGGAAACCTGCATGTTTGAGAAATAAGAAAATAGAAAATATTTCAAAGACATGTGAAGTCAGCCCACAGGCATTGGGGCCGCGCGGCGAACACTTCCTTGCCCTAAAACCCTCTCAGAAGTGAGAGGAGGCCTATGCCCCACGGTGGGACGCATATAGGATGTTACTTTACTTTACTTTCTTAGGCGACCTTGAGCTGCTGCTGCAATTTCCTGGTTTATTTCCCGCTGTCCTCCCTTACGACACGCACTGTACGATATGGGGTAGTGGATTACACCGCCGCTACAAAGTCAAGGGTACATTTCATTAATTCCACAGATACTTTTTAGAGGAACGCATGAATACACCTTTATTCTAAATGTGGGGATAACGCTTAAATGGTTGGGGCCTGCGGTATCTTGGGATGTTTTACAAAACATGAAAATATATCACATTACGATAAACCGACGGACAGCGCGTTTGTGGTTTTGAGAAAACAATTGAAGCAGGTTCTATTACAATGACGTAACGTCCATTTTTTTTTTTGTTATTTATTCGTCCATTTAGTATAAAGATGTGTTAACTTTATTGCGGCGGCGTTTGCCATTAAACGAGAAGAAGCTAGTTTAGGTTCACGGTCTAATGCAATGCAAAACCTTGCATTGCATTAGACCACCCATACCATTAAAATGGTAAAATAATTAAACTTTTAATAAAAAGTAAAACTGGCTTCTAAATTTAAAAATATTTAAATTAATTATACATAATAGCTCCTGAAGTCAGGGTTTAACCGCCTTCAGAATAAGAAATTTATTTTATTATTTTTAGTTATTAAAAGTTTTATTATATTAGTTTATTTTTATTTACCATTACGGAGGCGTTTTTTGTACGTACATTATACAAGATCAAAGAAAGACACCGACCTGAAACAATGATATCACAGACAGACACACAGATACACATGTTAAACATATTAAACCCCTCTTTTGCGTCGGTGGTTAAAAATATTGTCTCAGATCAGCGGTATACGACGATTTGAAAACGAATAGCCTAGCAGTTTCTTTTTTCTTTTTTTAATCAATTATTAAATACCACTTTTTTTTAAATCAATACTGCTAGTAAGTGAATGACTGGCCCTTAGAACATTATTTATCCTTGATTAATAATCACATTGCAGGTGCATTACAACTTCTAAGATCTAAGTTGGAATTTCTTGTTTTCAGTAAAAAGGGTTTCCGGTTCTCCACCGTCACCATACGAAACACAACAGCAATGTTTAGATTCTTATTTGATCCGTTCGTGTAGGCACATCCTTAGTCCAATGACTCACTGAGTGGTGCGTGCCGTGGAGGTATATAGGACCTTTAAAAAACTTCTGCCAAATGGCTATTTTTAACGTACATATAGAACGTGTGAAGAATATTAAACATACAGACTAGGATCTTTATTAAAGGATAACGTCATAACAAGCCCAATGGTTACATAGAAATAAAAGAAAAAACGACTGTATAAAAAGTTTACAGTAAAGATGTTTTTCTTTTTTAATCCTACTAGCTGGTGGCACCCGACGCTTTGCTACCGCAGAAGAAATAATTGCGGAGATATCTTTTTAAATTTGGAACAGTTATATTGTTTAATTGGGGATGATACATTCACTGAAGTTGAATGATATGTAACTTTCATATAAATTTTTCGGTACAATACGCGCGTAGTTTCGTAAGCTGACAAAGTTTGATATCAATCTGATGAACGGTATAGCAGCGCATAAAATACGAACAAACAAATATTATTTTTTATATATTACATGTCACTTCCATAACTGAGACGAATGGTCACGCTTAGCAAGCGGGTTGGCAACCGCAGTTTTTATATAATTTTGAGCGATCAAAAAAATGCTGCTGCCCATCTCCTGTTTCATTAATTTTCTTCTAACGCCTCGTACGACACGCACTGCACGATATAGGGTAGTGGATGTGCTTACTCCGCCACTACGCAGTATACTCTGAAATATTTATTAAATTACTCTCAATTAACATTGTTTTAAACGCGAGAGTCAAGTGCACCATAAATTCAAGAAGGTCTAAAGTATTTTTATTAATTGTTCAAAAACTGTCGCGTGATTCGCCGACACTAATTATAAAAACGTCCAAGTAATAGTGAACTAAATATACTTCTAATTAGCGTGTCGATTGTAAATTAAACACTTAATTTAAATAATTTGCGGTTGTCCCGAGTGTGCTAGATTGAGTAGATTTCAGTACGTTTCGAGGAAGCTTCTTCCGTGAAATATTTGCATATTGACAATTTGAATATTTATTGAGGATTTACTACATTAAATTACTTGATAAAGTGTACACATACATACCTACACACACACACACACACACACACACACACACACGCACGCACGCACGCACGCACGCACGCACGCCCGCCCGCCCGCCCGCCCGCCCGCCCGCCCGCCCGCCCGCCCGCCCGCACGCACGCACGCACGCACGCACGCACGCACGCACGCACGCACGCACGCACGCACGCACGCACGCACGCACGCACGCACGCACGCACGCACGCACGCACGCACGCACGCACGCACGCACGCACGCACGCACGCACGCACGCACGCACGCACGCACGCACGCACGCACGCACGCACGCACGCACGCACGCACGCACGCACGCACACCAACTTTATGATAAAATTAATTATTATTATAATTTTTCCACTGTTTAACAACAAATAAACTGTAGCGTGTGGCCTTCTGGCACAAGTATTTTAATACTTAAAAGGACGTGTCCACTATGACATTGTATCAATTTCCAATGTCCTTTAACCAATAAATATTATTATTATAGTGTATGGGTATTTTTGACGGGAACTTAACAGTTGACGGACTACTAGTACTGTATAATCTTCTTTTTCTTATTTCCTTATTTGTTAAAAAAATAACGTTACCTCTACACTAGGATTTTCTCCTGTATACTGTATATAGTTTACATACATAAATTTCACAATAACAAACATCCAGATCCGGAATAAATATTTGTAGGCCATACAAATGCATGTTCCGTGCGTGGTTCGAACCCACGCTCTTAGCGCTGCAACTCATTGCTAAGCCAGCTGCGCCACAGAGCCGTCATATTATCGTAAAAATAATAGTTAATAAGTGGATTTTAGTAAGCATAATTTAAAATTCAAAATTTTGTACAACCGATTTCAATATCTGCGCATGTGAATTACTAAAAGAAACAATGATACAAGTATTTCGATGGTGATATATAAACCTCGAGATATTTTGTCCGCTAAGGTGCTTTCGAGAATTTTGCATAATATTATCGAGTGTCGGCTTTGGTTGCAGTAAATCTCCCAGAAACCTCGCAAGGTCACGCCACGTACCAAGACAACACAATATAATGTAAAGAAATTTGTTAACGTATTTAAATATTTTTTATGTATTTAGCGTTTGATGAATTTTACTTAGCTCAAGGCCTTATAGCCAATGTCACACTAAAAACCAATTTAAAATCTAAGATGTTTTTAAGACGTCTTTGTTTAAAAAATATATTTTAAATAAATGAACCATGAAGGTTTTGGCGGGAACTTGTCCGGCGGCGGATCAAATGTTTTCGCATTTGAACTAATTAATGGTGACGATGAAACAAGTATTCGGATGGTGATGTGAACCTCAAGATAAGGTGGTCTGCTTAGACGCATTGAGGTACTATCGCCATCAACTATCTGCTGGCTCAAGTTGCAATCGATATCTCCCAAAAACTTCACAATGCGACACATTCACATATTGTGAAGAAGTTTTTAAACAAATTGTTATATTAAAGGACAATTTTATATAATACTCGGTGCTGGCTAAATTACAACAATACGAATCTATTATCAAAAAGAAAGAAATAAACAAACCTGTCAACAGGCGGCGGCAGCGGCGCCATCATGTGCGGGTGCGGCGGCATCGGCGGGTGCGGCGCGTGCGGGTGGAACGGCGAGCCGGGCGGCGCGAAGCCCGGCCCCGGGAAGTGGCCCTGCTGCGGGCCCGCGAAGCCACCGCCGGAGCCGGGCCGCGCGGACGGGCTGCCGAAGGGGCCTGCGTACGGCGGCCCTGCGAACCCGGGCCCCGGGCCCGGTGTGGAGGGCGCCGGCGACGCGGCGAACGCGGGCCCCGCGGGCGAGCCTGCGGGCGCGGCGAACGTGCCGAAAGGCGCGTCGCCGCCGCCCTTCCAGCCGGCGCCCACGCCGCCCGCCTCGTCAAGCGCCGGCACGCGCCGCTGCAGGCCCACCGACATCTGTTACGTAATACCACCTTTAGTGGGAACAATGGAACGGTTTGATATACCAATATACCAAATTTGACCAATATTAATGTGGGGTATTTTTTATATAATAAGGGTAACAAACCAGCACATTCCACCTGATGGTAAATGGACACTGTGGCCCAAAGACATCTATATCTACCCTCGGCTAAGCATCAAAATGCAGATGCGTTGTCACCCTCGAGGAATAAGATTAAATGCCTCGTTTCTAGTAAAAAGAGATTGCGGTTCTCTACACGAAACATAGAGCACAGCAGCATACGCTGCTATTTAATGATGGTATTCTGTGAAAGCGTGGTCCTTACCCCGATCGAACCGACCCCTTCGTGGTGCAGCTATAAAATAAGCTAGAGCGTGACTCTGTCTCACAGACCAAATCAAGTGTTGCAAGGTTTGTTAGTGTTGGACGATATGTAAAGAGAACAATGACTCCATTTTTTATTTTATAGTATAAGGGTGACAAACGAGCACACAGTCTACATAATAGTAAGTCGAAGCTATGGCCCACTAAAATATAGGTATATCAGTCTTCGATTAAGAATCATAATGCAGATGCGGTGTCACCTGTAAGAACTAAGATGGACTGCCACGTTTATGCTAAAAAGGGCCTCCGGTTTTCTACACTCACCATACGAAACACAGCATAATTAAGCTGTTATATTACGATGGTATTTTGAGAGAGCGTGGTCTTTCCCCGTTCGAGCCGACGCATTCGTGCTACAACTATACTACTAATATAGCAGTAGCATGCCTCTACCACGTATAAAATACTACCATCATTGTATCTGAAGAGTAGCCGGGCGTTCAGTGCAAGATGAGGGGCATATACAATTTCTTACCGTGAATACTCGTCCCGAGTAATGAAATGTTTTGGTCGGAAAGATACCCATATTTTGATTATATTGATGTATCAAATGTGGTTGACAAACAGTTATTTTCTTTTTCTCTTTTTGAGAATATCGATCTGTTTTGTGCGAGGGGGTTATACCAGTTACATTTCAGCAAACTGTCACCATGCTATTGTCATGCCACTTGCATACACATACAAATTTTAAAGTTTCATTGCGACAGTCCGTAAATATTCCGCTTGAGATGAGTCTACCGGCTTAATAGATAAAAAAATCTATACAAGCTCTACACATACTAAATAATCTATGGTTGCTAAGAAAAATAGTATTTCACTCGCCTTGTGCAATAGTGTACATAGATCGTACAGATCATTGGGTACATCGCGAGACGGCTCCAAGTTAATACAATCTTTATAACGTTCGACTAGAGATTAAAATCGTGCCACCGCGATCTCTAACGACATGTCTTGCTGCGTCGACAGGTGTAATACGTTTGTCTCCGCGCGGTTACCTCTTGGTTATTGACCTTTCTACGTAAGTGAATTCGATTCCCGGACTGCGAACACCATTTTGTAGTTTTTTTTTACTTCATGTCATTTATTTCTTTTGTGTTTTCGGCTTGCGAGATTACATATTTACAGACATGTTATATAACATGGAAGATATTTAGACAAATAACCTCATCAATTTATTAATGATTCGTTGCTGGAGATTTGATTCGCCCACTGTTGAGAACAGAACCTGGTAAACGGCGAGTGGCAGACTACTAGCTAACTAGCATAACCTGCAGACCATGTACTTAACTAACTTTAAGTATTGAAAGTGACAGATGCCATTGAAAGTGATAGACAACGCCCCTGTAGCCTTCTTTGTATTAAGTAAGCCTATAGATATCCATGGACTGCAGTAGCCACTTGCCATACGGTTGTCTGTAAAATCATTTGTAACTGCAGTTTAAAAAAAAATCCAAGCACAGCAATGCAAGACTTTAAAAAACCGTTAGTTTTTTGTGTAGATCCGACCAAAAATTAATATTTAAAAGCTCAAGTAAGCCCGAGTTTGATTACTTGACGGCGTTAAACACCGTATTTATATATAAAGACATAGCTGACCCTTAACCACTATACTGGACATCAAACATTTTAACAGGGATGAAATTATCTTGTGTGGTTCAAGTACTGAGTGTCTAGGATTTATTTTCGTAATCGATTAATAAATATTGTTATTTCACATTAAAAAATATAATAAATCACAATCAAATATAGCCTATGTCACTTTAGAATGGTGAAATATTTTTTAAAATCGGTTCAGTAGTTCCAGATATTGCTTTCTACAAACAAACTAACAAACTTAAAAACTGTACCTCTTTATAATATTGGTATAGATGACTTCATGGCGTCAAACATCTCAGTACCCAAGTGATCATGGGAGCTGCAAGCAAAGCACTCGAGACGTCGGGGACGTCGGGAGGGCTCGAACAATCGTAATACCAGCGTAAAATAGCAGCTTAATGCTGCTGTGTTTCGTATGGTGAGTATTCTAGACTCACCACACGAACCTTATACAAATACCGGAGACCCTTTTTACTCGATAAGAGGCATTCCATCTCAGTCCACAGGGGTGACAACTGACAACGTATCTGCATTTTATTACTTAATTAAGGATAAATTTAGATAATTATGGACTACACCATCCATTTACCACCAGGTAGACTATGTACTCGTTTGTCACCCTGATCCTATAAATTAAAAAAAAAAGTTTATTTATTCTAATTATGATATTATGAAATGGACCATAAACATGGTTTGCTTTCAACGATTTAACGATAAAAGAAATTAACATGGCTGACCCAATTGATTGTATTGACAAAGGATGCACCTGCAAAAGTTCAGGGGCCGACTTCGAACACGCGATCCATCGGCACGCGAACCTCGTAGAGTACCTAGTTGCAGTGTTGAAATGCCTACGGCAAGGACAGGCTATATTTGTATGTTCTTCATGTGATTTTAAAGATATTTACTCCTGTTATTTCATGGGTGCCTAGTACTTATTAAAAGATAAAGAGGAAGGTCGAGGGCAACTATTCCCTATTTGACTAGACATGCAGGAGTCGATAGATGTAGATGGTTCAGTGGCAGATGCATATTATATACATGTATTTAGTAGTGGACATGTGATAGAAAACTCCGAGAGTAAATTTTAAGACACTAAACTTTACAAATAAAAAAATTGAAGTGTCTGTTTGTAATGTTACAATAACAGCTTTTTACTAAAAACATAGGTACTGAATGTATATACGGCACTAATAACAAAAAACAATTTTTAAAATTTTTGTCAGCCTGTCTGTGTTTGTTCCGGATAATCTCCTAAACGGCTGGACCGATTTCGACGGGAATGTCACTAGCAGATAGCTGATGTTATAAGGAGTAATTTAGGTTACTTATATTTTAGAAAAAGAATTAGGGTTCCGTGCAAGATAATTAAAACCCTAAATTACACGCGGGCGAAATCGCGAGGAACAGCTAGTGAAATAATAATAATGTCTTCCAGATCGAATTTAGGTTCACGGCGGCCAGTCTCAACAGAGGCAGCCATCTACGCAGGACAGGGTTATAGTGCACGAGTGTGTTCGTAAGCACAGGTGCACTCACCATTCCCTCTCATAGGACGATGGGACGGTAATAGTAACTTATCTAATCTGTGACGGTGCCCCGACACGACCGAAAAGAGATCAGACGCAGGACTTTACGTGCTTCCCGAGGCACGGGGGTGAAACTCTACCAATTTTTTAACGTGGTAGAGCTACACTGCAGCTATATTATGGTTGTAGCACGAATGGGTCGGCTCGACCGTGGCAGGACTACGCTCTCACATAATACCATCGTAAAATAGCAGCACAATGCTGCTGTGTTCCATATGGTGAGTGTAGACAACCCGAGATTCTTTTTACTGGACACGAGGCATTCCGTCTTAGTCCTCAGGGGGTGACAATGCATTTAATCGAGTATAAATGTAGATGTCTATGTGCTACAGCATCCACTTACCATCAGGTGCCCTGTACTCGTTTGTCACTCATATTCTATAAAAAAAAACTCCGGGCTCCTACTGAGAATTTCCTTATAGATATTTCCCAATAACTGAATTTGGACCGAGCCGGAATTCGAACCATGGACCACATGATCAACAGTAACTTTTACAGTCAGTAGAACAACAAGGCAATCAAACTGTAGTGCACAGGATTCGTGTAGTACGGTTGGGTCGGCTCGGACCGGTGTAGGACAGAGCTTGCGAATATCAGCACAGCTTAGTGCTGCTGTAGTTCCCATGGTGGATGAAGAGAACCAGAGACCCATTTTACTCGTAATGGGGTGTTCTATCTAACTTATCAGGGATGACAACGCATCTGCATTTGATTCTTAACGAGGGCTTTTTAATAAAACTTGTTCAACAAAAATTATTTTGTCTTGCCTCATTGATATGCTCTTTAATGAGGGCCTCCACGACTTTTTCTGCCACCAGAGCGGCGCCACTTAAAAGTGAGGTATAATATTTGACAGATATCATAGCGGGGAAGTTAATTTGTTCGGAAAATGTAAAGGTTAATGTTTCTTTCTATGGTATTAGCTTTACTTCATTTTAATAAGGTTTAAAAAAAAAAACATAAACCAAACCACAGATATTCATAAAAGTAGAAATGCGCAAAAAATTAAAGAACAAACCACTGAGGCATTGCTTTTGTTTATTAATATATGATAATTTCGCTGTTGAAACCAATGAAATTTTTAATTGCAATTTTAAGTGCTGATTTACCACGTGCTTAAGGAATTCCTGTGGGTAATGAACAGCGTCTTCTGTATCTAATACGGTATCAACGGATTTATATATTTTTGATTACCTGGTATTCTTTCTAATATTTGAAAACTATTAAGTATTTGATCAACAGAAGAATTTCTCGACGAAACTATTGCCCTCTCGCATATCCATGGGTAAACTTTTAGAATCAAATCATTGAGCCTTGAGTTAGACTTTTCTAACTCATATTTTTTAATAAGACCATCTTCGTCAAGTATTTTCCCATCAACTACTCATAATAAAATAAAAAAAAACTCGCGAAATTCGTATTAC